ACCTAAGGTTCAAACCCAAGAAACGACAACCCTCAGAAGTCGAAACTTGTGCGAGTATGTGATTCCTAACACGGGTTGGACGATAGCAAGTGAAAATCGATCGTTCAGACTAGGGATTGAACCACCGATCAACACGGCAGTCAATTCGAGTGAGTGAACAAAGCACCACGCCGAACCGCTTGGCTACCGACCGACCANTGAGGTACCCCGAAAATGACATCGCGAGATGATGACACTGAATCCTTTATTTTGGTTACCTGTTTGCATTGTGATAAATAATCAAGTCAGCCATAACAAAACAGTTTCCATGATACCAATACTTTGCAGTTTATTTATTAATATGTGGCGATCAATTGTCGCAAAAGCTCTTTTAAGATCTAAAAATGCGGCTATATTATAATGTCCCTTATCTATTGATTCTTTCCATTTTGATATTGTGACTTGTAATGCAGACTCACATGAATGGTGTTTTCTGAAACCTGACTGATATTTCAGTAAAATATCATTATTTTCTAGATATTCAATGAGTTGATTATAAACAACGAGTTCTAATATTTTTTCAATACAACCAAAGGTTCCAAAGTGTGCATTACAAATCCACGTATACCTACCTATAGCAGCAATTGTCTCTTAGCTCACAAAATTCATATAATGAATGCTAGTTCGAAAAAATAATTTTACGTTATAAATGTGTTGACCCTTGACCCTATCATATTTATATGATATATAAATTTAGATATATCCCCAAGTAAAATGTATCGCTTGATGTCGATTTTCCGTTGGCACGTTTCGTGAAATAATTACATTTTTAAAATCCCGTTCTATAAATCACTAATTACTCTTCTCTTGCGACACAGATCTAAAATTAGAATTCGATTTATATCGGCAATTGGCTGCATGCTTTAGAAGTTCCAATTTGTCATTTTTGTTTTCTAAGCCATCCTCTCTCGCAAATGGATAATTTACTCATTGAAATGTGAGTATTGATTGGGAATTGTCTTTAAATCCATGGAATTTAACAACGCTGAATATTTCAAATGTAGAAATGTACTTTTGTATCTGTGATTTTTTTAATATTTTACTACATGATTCACAATTAAAGAATACACCAGAAAAACACAAAAATACTGCACATTTATACTGTTGATTTTCCATGCACTTTCACTAATGGCTGGTTCGCGCATACTTCTCGCGCGATTTGGATGACTTCGCTTCGTTTTGGCGCTTTTCAATGGTGTGTGCCAAATCTTTGATAGATATGTTCTCTCTTTCTTTCTGTTGAAGTTCTCTTGAACCTGACCTGTACATTACCGTGTATGGTATTATGAATAGTCATAATTCATTGAATTATCAATTAGTAGTTTGTTTGAATGTGGTTGACAATGTTCCGTGGTAAATTTCATTAGTTTGGACTTCCATTGTCTAATATGATATATTGTGATAGCTGGT